GTTCCCAGGGCTGCCGGCAGCCGCTGGCTGAACTCCCCCATGAAATCAGGATTCAGTTCCCGGTAACCTCCCCCGCGTTTGTTTGGGCTCCTGTGCCGGCGGAGGAGGGCCCGGCTCCAGACACCCGCGTGGCTTTGGGAGCGGGGAGAGCTCCTGAGCAGCTCCATCTGGAGGGCAGAGCCGGCCCCTGTGTGCAGCRGCAGCTCCAACAAGGATCCTTTATTCGGCTGTGGGGTGGCAGAGAGCCCAGCAGAGACGGGCTGGGGTGGCAGCAGTGGCTGTTTGCAAGAGCTGTGAGGATTTCCAGCCGCTGCATTGTCCCCCTCGGGCAGCTCTCATAGCCCATTTTTCTAGACAATTAATTAAGGGCCGAGGCAGCGGGGCCGGAGCGGGTTTGTTAATGCCCGCTCTGTTCTCTCTGTTCAGCCGCGAGACGTTTGATTTCGATGACGACTGTGACAGTTTAACGTGGGAGGAGAACGAGGAAACGCTGCTGCTTTGGGAAGACTTCACCAACTGCAATCCCTCCATTGATCTCCAAGGAGAGGTGAGTTTATTTCCACTCTTTTGTCCAACTCTTCTCTGCAGAAACTCTCCCTCAGTCACTCTTTTGGCCACTTGAGCCTGTGGGTGTCTGACTGGTGATCTGCCATGCAAACCTGCTTTGATTTGAAAATCCTCTTAGGGTTCCTCTCCGTGGCTGATTTTCAGCCTGTGCAATCAGTTTATTGGCCAGACTTTATTTCCCTGGCTCCTTCAAACTGAATATTTAGAAGTACCAAGTGAGAGGCAGAAGATTCGGGGTGTCTGTTCCAGAGCATCGGGGSATCTGTCTCTCTTTCTCTGAAGTTCTGGGCTGGCAGGGAGTAGGGTTAGGTTGGATTTGAGGAAAAAATCCTTCCCTGGGAGGATGGGGAGGCCCTGGCACAGGGTGCCCAGAGGAGCTGTGGGTTCCTGGAAGTGTCCCAGGTGAGGCTGGACAGGGTTTGGAGCATCCTGGGATAGTGGAGGTGTCCCTGCCCATGGCAGGGCTGGCACTGGATGGGCTTTATGGTCCATCCCACCCAAACCTGTCAGGATTCTGTGATCTTCCACACAGCACCTCACTTTGTCTCTGCATTAGCATTAATCACAGAATCACCAGGGTTGGGAGAGACCTTCAAGATCTCCGAGTCCAACCCACGCCCAACACCTCAACTAAACCACGGCACCAAAGGCCACATACAATCTCCCTTTAACCACATCCAGGGATGGTGACTCCACACCTCCCCAGGCAGACCATTCCAGTGCTTTATCACACTTTCTGTAAAGAACTTTTTTCTAATATCGAGCCTATATTTCCCTTGGTGCAGCTTAAGGCTGAGCCCTCTCGTTCTGCCAGTTTTTGCCTGAAGAAAGAGACCGACCCCACCTTTCAGGCAGTTGTAGAGTGATAAAGTCACCTCTGAGTGACCTCACAGTGGCTCTGTGGGGAGCAAAGCAGCTTCGGTACGCTCTGTGGAAGATGTTAAAGGATGTCAATCCCATCCCAAATCAAGAACCTGTGGCTGCAGGACCACAGAAAGCCCCAGGGATCCTCTGAACCYGGGAATCTCGTGCTTCCCTCTGCCCAGTCAGTGGGGATCTGCTGGCAGYGCTGGATAAGGAACAGCTTCCTTTGAATCCCTAAGATCCCAGGGAAAAACAGCCTCGCCCAGCCACTCCTGAGCCTTCCTAAAGCAGCCTGGAGTGAGCTGGGAATGGCTGGTACTTCATCACTGAGCAGCACAGCAGSGAGAGTGGGAAATAATCCCAAATAATCCCAAACAATCCCGCTGCCTCCCCAGAGAGGGAGCATGCTGAGGCAACAGCCTTGGGAATATTGCCTTGTGCCAGCTGCCAAGGGGTGTTCGTGTCCCATCTCCCCATTTGGGGATCATCCTTGTGGAGCCCTCCAGGCTGTGGGGATTACTGGGAAGTGCTGGGGCTGCAGAAACCGCAGAGCTGGAGAGTGGCAGAGGGATAACGAGGAGCTGGAGAGTGGCAGAGGGATAACGAGGGTGGCAGAGGGATGACAAGGAGCAGGAGAGTGGCAGAGAGGAGCAGCAGAGTGGCAGAGAGGAGCAGCAGAGTGGCAGAGGGATAATGAGGGTGGCAGAGGGATGATGAGGAGCAGGAGAGGGATAACGAGGAGCAGCAGAGGGATAACAGGAGCAGCAGAGTGGCAGTGATAAGGAGGAGCAGCAGAGTGGCAGAGTGATAACGAGGAGCTCGCTGGAATTAATGACAGCCTGATTTGCATACGGCACAGCCTGATTTGCATACGCTGGGCGTGCCTGCCTGAGCGCTGCCATCGCAGCCACAGCTCCCGAGCCCGGGCCCCGCGTGAGGAAACTCTAAAGATTTTAAGAAGCTTAAATCCTTCTAAATGAAAATTATACAAGGAAAGGGTAGATTTGGCTTGTAGATGGAGGTGCAGAATAAAGCCTGCTCCGGCTGTGCCTGCTCTTTAACATGTGCTTTACATGCCGGAATCTTCCTTCCGTGGGTTTTATTCCTTTCAAGTTCTTACACGCTGCCCTCGCCACCTTCTTTTGTGACCTTCCTCCCTAAAGCTCTTCTGCATATAAAAGGATCAGTGGGATGATTCTTGTAACTCCAGGCTGCACAGCCGGCTGTGGGTACCAGGAGTGAGCCCTATAAATCTGCCACAGATGTGGCCAGAGCATGGAAACCCAATTAACGCCGGTTGGTGCAGTTGTGTTAATTTAATGATCATTTTTTAATGGAAAACAGAGGTGGTTGAAAGCCTGAAAGAGGGAACAGTGAGGTTGTGGTGCCTTTTGGTGCAGCACAAAGCAGCTCTGTGTGCTTGSGAGCCCAGGCTGTGCTGTCAGTCCAAAGCAGGAGCTTTCCTTTGGGGCAGCGTTTGTTCCTGCTGGATCCAGCAGTGCAGTAAGGAATTCCAGTGGGAATCAGTGCGTGCACGGGAGGTGCTGGAGAGCAGTGAGATGGAACAGGAAAACGAGAATTCCAGCAGAGCTGGGAGTAGCAGTGTGGTCAGTGCAGGGAAAATTCACAGTTTCATAGCTGGAGAGCAACAGCAGTCTGGCCAAGTGTGGTCAGGCTGTGAAAGGCTCAGGAAAATCCACAGKTTTGGTGCTTTGGAATGCATCAGGTGCAGGGGCTTAACTGCTGGAGCTTTGATCAAATTTCTCCTTTGTGTGTCCAGGGCTGTGCTCATGGCACAGAAATGTGTTTTCCTGCTGTTCCAGTCTGCAGAAGAATCTTCCTTTGCCTGTGTAAAAATGCCTTTAAAAAATCAGTGCATGAAGGAACAAAATAACCTCCATTTCTGGGAGAGGTTAAATAAAACCTTCCATCTGCTTTTGAACTCTTTCAGTTCCCTGCTAATTCTTTGTGTCTTCCTTTCCCCTGCAGGAAGAAAACCTGGGAAACTTGATCCAYGAAACAGAGTCCTTCTTCAAAACGAGAGACAAGGAATACCAGGAGACAATAGGGCAGATYGAGGTGAGGAAGGGGAATTGTTCCTGATGGATGGACACAGTCACAGTGCTCGGCTCTGGGATGTCCCAGAGGGAAGGAGAATGCAAAGGCATTTCCCTGTGATGTGCCCTGGGGATTGTCCTCTGTGCCATTCTCTGTGCTATTAATGCTCCGTGCTCCAGCACTGAGCATAAATCTGGGTCTCGTGGAGAGGAAAGCTGCAGGCCAAAGGGAATAAAAAACACTGTTATTGCTTTCTTCCCCTTTGTTCTGCACATGCACCCTCACACTGGGAAATGCTTCCCGAGATGGGGCCTCACAGGTTGCCAGAAACAGCAGCTGGAGCTTCTCAAAATCTCTGCCCTACCTCGAACTGCTCCATTAATTCCTGCCTGTTGACAAACAAGGTGCCAGGAGCAGGAAAATCCCCTCCTTTAGGTGATGCCTAAATCTGGCTTACCCAAAACAGAGGCTGGACAGAATTGAGAGAATCCAAAGCAGTTCTGTTCATGGCAGGGCCTTCAGGTGCATCCAGGGCAGTCCCAGCCCAGCCCGGGGCTGCAGCCACAATGGACAATGGCTCACGGGTTTTTCACCCTTTCTCACTTTTGTCCATTTGCACATCGGGGCTGAATCCTCCAATTGCAGCTGCAGCCAATGCAGTCATTCACTCCAAGTTGGCTCCCCCAATTCTCTGTTTTTTCCATCTCTTGGGGCCTGGCACTGGGAGGTGTCCTTGAGTTTGGGGCTGCAGAGGAATTGTTTTGTGTAAAAATGGGAGAGCAGGAGCCCAGCACTGTCTGTGGAGTGTGGAGTTAAACACTGGAGAATCCCAGGGGTACAGAGACATGGAAATGGAGAAGGTGAAATCCTAAAACATCACAGGGTTAACCAGCTCTGTGCAGCTCTGATTGCCCCTCCTGAGCTGATGAATGCATTGGCAGCGAGGAGCAGTGAGATTAAATGGGCACTGTGGGGTGTTTGGGTGGGCTCTGGGCAGCTGTGGGGTCCCACCAGTGTGGGGAGGGTGGGGAAACTGGGATTGCACCTCCTGGAAGTTAAGGGAAACTGGGATTGCACCTCCTGGAAGGGCAGAGAAACTGGGATTGCCCCTCCCCTGAGGCTGGATCTCTGCCCTTCTTTGCCCCAGCTGGAGTTGGCCACAGCCAAGAGCGACATGAACCGGCACCTGCACGAGTACATGGAGATGTGCAGCATGAAGAGGGGGCTGGACGTGCAGATGGAGACGTGCAGGAGGCTCATCAAGGGCTCAGCTGACAGGTAATGGGATTTTCTGGCCCAGGAACCCATCCCCTCCTGCCTCAGGAGCCCCTCCTGGCCCGGGATCCATCCCCTCCTGCCCCAGGAGCTGCTCCTGCCCCAGAGCCCATCCCCTTTTGGCACAGAGCCCATCCCCTCCTGGCCCAGAGCCCATCCCCTCCTGGCCCAGGATCCATCCCCTCCTGCCTCAGAGCCCATCCCCTCCTGGTCCCTACCAGCCTGGGCTAAAGGCAGCGCTGTCCCTCGATGGCTTTGTCCTTTGGTGAGCCCGGGATCAGCTGTGAACGGGACCTGGGGCAGGGCCCTACACCTGGAACAGCTCTGAGCATTCAACAGCTGCTCCTAAAACCAGGGAGCTCCAACCCAGCTGGACCTTGAGGCTTTAACATCACCGATTTAGAACTCTTAAACCCCCAAATTAAATCTCAACTCTGGACTTACACGAAGAAGTTGTTTTTTAATCTTCTCATGTCTTAAGAACCTTACACTATGAGGGATTTCTCTTATCTCTTGCTCAACCCCAGTAGAACAAGATGATAAACTTTCAATTTTCAGGGCTCTGGGTATTAGGGACGCTGAAAGTCTCTGTGAGAGACTTTGCTCTCYATTTCCCCATCAGTAAACGTGGGACAACCTCAGTGTTTGTGTAGGGGATGGCTGAGGTGACAGCTTGATTTTACTGCTGATATTTACTGTAAACACAATATTTAATGTTAATAAAAGGAGTTTTAAATAGCTTGGGGGAGTGCCAATGTTTAATGTTAATAAAGGGGTTTTTTAACAACTCGGGGAAGTGCCGATATGTAATGTTAATAAARGGGTTTTTTAATAGCTYGGGGGAGCGCCAATGTTTAATGTTAATTAAGGGCTTTTAAAATAGTGTTGTGAAGGGAAAGTGATTGTTTTTAGGATTGTTTCTTGTTCTTCCCCCTGTCACTGATATTTAATTTTTTGGCCCCGCTTTTCCCTGCAGGAATACTCCATCTCCCAGCTCCGTAGCCAGCAGTGACTCAGGAAACACAGATGAAATYCAGGACGATTTGGACAGAGAGACGGACGTGGAGCCCATGGTCAGCTGATAGGAAGCAGGAGCATTCCAGAGAAGGGGAAGCTGGAGAGCAAAGATCCAAAAGCAATTGCTGGGGAAAGGTGAAAGACTCACGAGCCCCTGCAGAGGCTCTCTAAGGACTCATCCCCTCCCACCCGAGGATTGGTGCTGTACATTTCTATTGTTCCACAACCCACGAATGCAGAGTCCTGTAGGAAATCACGGTGTTTTAATTGTGCCTTTGCCCCAAGCTGAGCYTCTTGGAGCTCCAGTGGAATATTAACAGCAGGTGTTTTTATAGAATAATGCTATTTAAAAAAAACAAACCAAACCAACCAAAGCTGGCAGCAGCAGAGGATGGTGCTGCAAAGGCTCTGGGTACTTCAAAAAGCTGCTGGTTTTATTGAGCTGCTGCCCTTGATTGGCAAAAGCARCACTGGCAAAAAGAGCAGCAAACCCAAGATGATTATGGTGCAATTACTGATGTCTGGCACAAAAAAAAACCAACAAAAAAAGAATTGCCTCCAAATTGAACTGCAAACATTTAAAAATAMTGGCGGGTTTGGAGACAGCTCGTAGGGTAAAGCAGTTTTACAACATTCACAGGGTTTTCTTCATCCCACCTTTGGGATGAGGGGGCCTTTGGGATGTGTCCAAGGTTTCTGCTGGACCCCAGGAGCTGGAGGAGCAGGACTCAGCTCGGTGGCAAAGCAGGTGGGCACAGGAGGGGTCACTGGGGGGGGACTGTCACTGATTAACTACTATGCAAAAACAAAACTAAAAGCTCGCCTTATTTCTATGGAATGTTTGGTCCCTGCTGGGCTACAGTTCTCCCTTGGGAAAAGGAAAGCTAAACCCACATTTTGCACACTTAGTTGTCTGTAGAGCTTCTTTTGAGGTGGAATGTCYTTATCACAATGCCTTTTTTTCCAGGGGTTGGACTAGGAGGGGAATCAGCCCTTCAGGTCCAGGCTGGTTTATGTCTTTTTTCAGGGTGGTTTTTTTTTAATGTTTGCAGATTTTCCTTTGCTGACAGGGAGATAACTCCATTTAATGCTGCTTCCATGATGTGTAGAGCAGGAWAGTTGATAGTTGGGATCAACTGATGTCGGTGCAGGCTGGAGACAGGGCCTCAGGAAAGCTCCAGAGCACTGTTCTCATGGGAAAAACATTGGGAATGCTGTCATCCTTTTAGGGCAGAGCACACTGAATCCCAAACTGCTGCTGCCCTAGAACCTGGGAGGAGCAGCCACGTGCTTTCTCTGTGAGRAAGCAGCAAGACCTTGGCTTTGCCCATTTTTCTGTATTTTCACCCCAGAGAAGCAGCATTCAAAGTCAGATGGTTTGGTGGTGGTGGAGGAAACTCTGGCATCACCGAGCTCTTTGTGGTTAGAATGGGAATTGTAGCACCTCAGCCAGGTAAAAACAGGGTATAAACCTCAGCCAATAATTTTCTGTTTGTTTTTACACTCAGACTGGGAGCCTCGTTGGTACTGCCCAAAGCAGCTGTGGGGTTAAGTGGTGCTTGGGAGACTCAGAGTAAACACAGGGATTTTCCCTGCCAGGAAGCTTGGGAAGGGCTGGACAGGGAAAATCCCCATTTCAGCACCCTCTCAGTGTCATGGAAAGGCCAAGTGGCTGATCCTGTGAGCTTCCCCAGTGGTGTTCCCAGGGCTCTGGGTCATGGATCTGGGATCTCTGGAGCTGCACTGGGAGCAAACAGCCAGGAGAGTCCGAGCTGCTTCATTCCATAAAGAGCACAGGAAATGGCTCATTCCTGGCTGGAAATTCCTCAGTCTGGCATGGCCACAGAGAGGGGCAGGACATCGAGGGGGTTCCTGTTGGAGCTGTGGACACAGGAATGTTTTCCCCTTGGACTCTCCTGTGTTGCTGCCTGGAGTTCAGCTCCATCTCCTGCTTGGACACGGCGCTGCTGGGCCAAATTGTGTTTTCCAGACTGGGAAGGAGGGAGCAGGCTGATCCATCTGGATCCTCAGCTGGTGTGGATCCCAGGATGTTCCTGTGGCAATGCTCTGTACAGAGTAGGTGACAGCTCCTCCTGTGGATCCCAGGGTGTGGGTGAGGGGCTCCCCAAAGCCCATTTTCTCCTGTAAATATCGATGGTAACTCTTCTCTGGAAGAGAATCCTTATTCCAAAGTGCTCATTCCTRTTCTTCCTTAGGTGGCCAAAGTGGTAAATGTGATGTTCACTGGGGCTKCAAGCTGGGGGGGCGGGTAGAGGGGGATTTGRGGGATTTTTTGGAGGGATCTGGGACTGCATGTTTGAAATGTGTCATTTGAAGGGTGTCAGCTGCTCCCCAGGAGCCTGTCCTGAGGCTGAGGAAGCGCCTGCTGAGGATGGGTGGCTGTGATGATGCTCTGGTGGCAGGGACAGACAGGGTGGCTCAGCCTCCTGGAGCCTTCCCTGGCTCCCCTCCCTCGGGAAYGCTCCTGACTCCACAAAATCCCTGCAGTTTTGGGGTCATTTCACCCCGGGATTGTTGTTTTCCCTCCAAACTCAGCATCCCAGCAGGAAAAAGGATTTCCCAGCTCCAGGAGCTGGTGCTGAGCACAGGGAATCCCTGAGGCAGGGATTGAGCTGTGGGGATTCAGGGAAGGAGCAGCTGTATGGGGTGAGAGCGAGGGCTGTGGGGTGCAGTAGGGGTGTAGGACTCGCGTGCACGGTGGTGATGTGTAGGACAGTAGATTCCCGTGGGTGTTGGTGTCTTTCTTATAACCACATGTAATCAGTTTTTAAAGCAGAAAAGGTGTTTTCGTACTCGGGGTCGGGGGTTAATTTTTGTTTTAGGCTGGACCAACCTTTTGGGGCAGCTTTTGGGGTTGGTCCTCAGGGGTTTCCCTGGTTTGAGGTCCGGCCRTGCTGCTGCTCCTGCTCCACTCCAGAGACCACATCAAAGCTCGCCAGAGGAAAAAAAAACAAAAAAAGGAATTTAATTGTAAAAATGCTGGAAATGATTTTGATGACCTCTTTCTTTTTTCCTTTGTAAAGCTGTAAATACTTTATTTTTGTTTCCTATTCTTAATGCGGTGTCATATTGACACTTTTTTAGATTTCCGATCAGAAAATCCTCCTCATTGTTTCTCATTTTTTAAAAGGGGATTTCAAGGAAGCAAATTTTTTTGCTCRTTAGCAGTGTAATAATAGATCAAATTCCTAAACTGGGTTTGTACAAAAACGTTTTCAGTAAACAAATGGCAGTTTGTGGATGCATGTCGTTCAAAAATGTCCAAAGAAAAATGTGGTACAAATGTTTTAACGAATAATGTGGTACAAAMATGTTTTTCAAAGACTTAGTGATGATCGTCTTAGTTCACACAATGAGAAAACAAAACTATTTGAAAAAAAAAAAGTGTTTGGGGGGGAATGTAACGAAACTCATCTAAGCTAAATGTGTAATCTATTTATAAAAACACAGTATATATTCTATTTTTTATTAGAGGTTTTTAAAGATTTCTGTTAGCAGATGCAATTGTTCCCTTGTAAAGTCTCTCCTGCTCCCATGGGACCCCCAAATTCTCTGACGCTTTCAAGAGCCAAGGTGGGAATCACCAGGACAGCTTTGGCTGTGGAGCTTTTCAGGGTTTTTCAGAGTGCTCCCAGGGGTTCAGCAGCTTTTCTGCCCCTGTGGAATTGTTGCTGCTTCTCTGTGATTTCATTCCCATTCCCTGACTGGAGGATCCCACTGGTGAGTGCCAGGACCTCCTGAATCCCAGGGGTCACAGCAGAGCAGGGGTTAAATTCTGCCCCAGCCTGGTCTGTACCTGCAGAAATCGGGATTAACTCAWCAAAACAAAACAACAGACGGGAATCGTGCCTGAGAATGCATCTAAAGCTGCTTCCAAAGCCAGATTATTTTCATTTTCTTTTCCACCATCGTTCCTGCCAGCAAAAACACGAGTTGGCTCCCGGGCCCGGGCTTGGCTGAGGAAAAGCCGCAGCGGCCGTGGCTGCTCCYGGAGCTGCTTCCCGGTGTTTCCCTTGGCTCTGGGATGTTTGTGTTGGAAGAGCTGCGGTCCTGGGAGGGAGAGAGGTCCCTGCTTCACGTTCGAGTGCTTCATTTCAGGGCTGAATATTTCGGTGATGATTTGTCCTGGCCAAATCGAGACATCCCAGTGTTTCTGTGGAGCAGGAACAGCCCAGTGAGGATTTCCCACCTTTGGCTTCGGGACTTTTGGGTTCTTAATCCTTTTGCCCAGGACTCGGGAACACCCTCTCAAGGTTTTAAAGCTCTTTGCCCTCGGTGTTGCCACCCAAAAGGCTCCATTTGTAGCTTTTTAGTGGAATGTAACTTGTGTCCACTTGAAACAAAATTGCCAAGGAGGCAGCAGGCTTTCCTGGTGGGAATTACCCCTGCCAAATTCACCGTGGGAATGGATTCCCAGCTCCTCTCCCTGCAGGGGGAACGCTGAGGCTTTCACACCTCAGCAGAGGAGTGAAGAAACACTGGAGCCTTCCCTTTTGTCTGTTTTTGTGTGAGTTCAGCGTCCTCAGACCCTTCTGCGTTCGCAGGAGCCTTTCCGAGCTTCTCTTTTGAAGGAGCAGCAAATTGTGTTTCCCAAGTGRGCGTTTGGCTGCAGAAATCCCCATTCCCCCCTGATCTGAGGCACTCCAACGTGAAGCACTTCCTACGGGGGAGCTGGTGGGTCTGGCCAGCTCCCTTTTTTTGGGAAATAATGATTAATAATGATTAATTAATAATGCTTAAAACAACCCCTGGGGTGGCTTCAACCCTGTGCCATTTCTGCGGCACCACGGTGCCAYAAAAACCCAGTGGGGCTGCCCAGGCTGCCACCCCTGAAACCCAAAATTTCTGTTTTTTTGGAGAGGGTTCAAGGGTGGTTAAACCCTGGTCACTAAACAAACACACTCCTTGTGTAAACGTGGTTTCACTGACAGACACAATCCGGTCCCTGAAACACCTTCCTGTGGTTAAACGTAGCTTAAAACCTTCTGCCAAAAAGGATTATTTATTATTTATGGTGTTCAAGTGGAGGGTATTGATGACTCTGCCCTCCTGCTGTGTCACTTCTTGTCCTCTTTAGGTCACGGCAGAGTTTCCTTTTTCTTTTGTTCCCGTGACAGCGAACTACTGATGGTGTGGGAACGCCCCTGGTTACCGTCCCCRTGTAAATATTGTGCTTTATATTCTGTATATTAGCGAATTTTAATGAAAAAGACTGGACTGACCACGCTGTCGGAGCCCTGGTGGGGAGAGGCCGGAGGATGACCCAGCTCCCGTGCTCTGGAGCTGGGATGGGGCTGGAATTCTGTGCTGGGAACCCGCAGTGACTGCAGTGGGACACC